GATAGAACATAAGCATAAAATGGACTGAAGCTTCACTTCCCTTTTACCGTCCAAAGCAGCTGTCCTCTTCTTCACTTCCCGCAGGTTGTTCTCCTCTTCAGTTCGGCCGAATGATTAGGCTCAGGAACATCCCTCCATGCCACGCAATCGCCGTCCAGAGAGAGATCAAGAACCAACCAAAAACTTCTTCAACCTTGGCTTGGATCATCGACCAAGAGGTTTACCAAAAACCGCCAAGAATCTGCCCTAAAACCGACCAAAAGCCACCGAGAAACACCAACACCACTTAGTCACTATTTCAGGCCTAAGTATACAAGGGTTTCATCAATTAGATAGGCTAAGGACCAATTTAGGACCAAGAAGAAAAGGAAGCAAGAACAGGCAGAATATAGAGAGAAAACGGGAGTCCAGCAGAAGAGTCTCGAAGAAGCTAACCCACGTTATATCAAGAGAAAGTCAGCCAAAGAAAATATCTAATCTAGGATAAATTCCAACCATAGATGAAATCCAAGGGCCACAAATGAAAACGGCCCAAGAAGGTGTTTAAGAGAACCACCTAAGAAGCCCAATAAGCCCACACTAATGCTATTGCGGGTTGTCCACTTTCTAGTTCGTAACAATTCGAACAAATGAGAGGAAGTCTTACAAAATACTCACCAGTCGAAATACTATCACAACAATAAAAAAATATGTGGACATTAGGTTCGATTCTTCATATTTGGATTAGATGGGGGTAATGACCCATGGGTAAAAATTTAATAGGTCGGATATCTACACTCTTAGCTTTTTTTTTTTTAAAAAAAAAAAGTGATTTTAATTTAAACTTTTAGACTCCAGAGAAATAAGGGGAAAAACGTAAATACAATACCCTAAATTCACGTTGATGCAATGTAAGCGTCAGATTGGAAGCGAATGACATGTAGACCTACAACAACACTGCACGTTGTCACTATGAAATTATCCACACTCTTTCATATATTTAGAGTTGAATAGGCTAAACCATGACCCTCACTAGTGTTACATCATCCCTCGAATGCGACCTTTCAACTACGAACTTCAAAAACAAATCTTATTCCAACCTCGATTGTGACCTTCCAACAACTAACTTTTATTTAAAAGAAACTTAATCCATGTTTGAAAACTATTTTTCCTCCAAATTCATTTTTAACTATATTCTTAAAATAAAATTACTTTCACGTTTTCTCGGAATTTTTTTCTAAAACGGTATCGAGTTGATCTTGGTAAATTATCAAATTTATACCCTAAAAAGTTATTCAATAATAAAGTGATAAAAAAGGGGAAATATTTATTGTAGAGTCCTCAATCAATTCAAAATAGAGCAAATACGTTTCTAACTTTTCAATTTTGTAATACTTTGATCCCTACCATTAAAAAGTTTCAAGTGCCCAATTTTTTTTTCTTTTTTAATGAACACTTAATTTTAATTTATTTTTAAATAAAGAAAAAGGCCCAGAAATGGAAAACAAAAAAATATATAAAAATCATCCTCAACCCGTCCCTACAAAATGTGATAATGCCAAAAATGTTGAAATTTTTATGAATAGAAATTGCATTGTAGATGGAAAATATTTGAAAACTAGTAATTCTAATTTTACATTAAAATATATTCCATTTTACAATTTTTGAATAGAAATAGCATAGAAGAATCATATTGACAAAAGTTATTAATATTGTAAGAGAAACAAATAAACGAAATATCATTCATCCAAAACTCAAGAAGGGCAACGATGGCTCAAAATTATCAAAGCATTAGTGTTGAAAGGTTGCTAATTTTTTCCTCCTCGTTTCTATCCGTTTTACTTTTTGTAATTTAAAGTAAAGTGTTTTCCAATTTAACCATTTACTAAATTAGTGATCTAACTTGACTCTTTAACGTTAATGAACAACTTTTACTCATTGAAAATTCACGTGTAATAAACTTAAAAGATTAAAGAAATACTAAACATCATATTAGGAATGACAACGGAGCTGGTCAGTGTTAGGGATGTCCATCCCCACCTCCGTCCCATTCTAATTTATTTTCTTATCCCTAATATTCCCACCCTGCTAACCTAGTTAAGTATAGAATCTCCCTTCCCCATTTGGGCAATTGAGTGATGCCTTGCCCGATCTCTATCCCCAGTTCATATTAAGCCACTCTTTGGTGGTGATTAAAATCAGATTTTTAGTAGATTTTGATAAAAGTTAATAAAATATATGGTTGGAAAGTTGTGGATCCCACGAAATATGTAATTAAAATTAATTATTAACTTTAGTTAAATTAAAATTAAAATTATAATCCCCACTATGTAAAGGCAATATAACTAAATATTATAAACTCACTTTCCAGATCGTAAAACCTAAATAAATTGGGGAACCAAAATGTAATTTTCTCTGAAAATAAATATATTGATAAATATATAATTTAGAACAAATATCACACAATGTGATACGTCATGATATTATTTCTCACATTTCAAATTGACCACTACTTCCATCACTTCCGCGGCGCACCACCAGTTCCACCGTCATGAAACAAAAAAAATGGCCGTATAAATTCGGTAGACCTCAATTCACAGCCCTCCCTTTCATCGATAAACCCCACAAAAATTTCATCAAAGGTCCCGAATCCCATCAACTAAATTTCACTTTAAAATCATCCAACTCATCGTCGTTTTCATCGTCATCGAAGTGTAACGACCCAGATTTTTCTTCGCTCCCTTATGATGTTTTAGCTAGAATCGCCGCGTCATTTTCCTTTCGCAATTTGCAGACGGCGTCGCTGGTATGCAGAGCGTGGAGGGACGCGCTCCGGCCGTTGAGGGAAGCCATGCTGTTCTTGAAGTGGGGCAAGCGTTTCAAGCACGGACGCGGAGGAGTGAAACACAATTTGAAGAAGGCCTTGGATTCCTTCTTGAAAGGAGCGGCGCGTGGGTCCACGATGGCAATGGTGGACGCCGGGTTGATTTATTGGGAAATGGGAAAAAAAGAGCAGGGTATTGCTTGGTATAGAAAGGCAGCTGAGCTTGGTAACCCTACTGGCCAGTGTTATTTGGGTATTTCCTATTTGCAAGGTAACTGCTTTTTTTAGATTTCAGCTTTACTTATTTTTGTGTAATTTGATGTATTCAGTATTATATATTTTCAATTTTGAATTAATTCGAAGTGTGTTGGTTTAGATTGTGATGAAAGTTTAGTTGTTAGGCTAAGCTTTGAACTAGGAATAGCAAATTAAGTTCTTTGACTGGAATTCTATTCTCTCTATTGGGTGGACAGTTCATATAATTGACTCAGAAAGAAAGGGACTTACATCTCTCAAATATTTTGTGTGGTTACGTGTCAAAATGGAACAATTGGAATAGAAGGCCTATTCCATCAACATTGAAAAAAGACGTCCATTTGAAACTATTTTAAGGTCCATTGTTTTTTAAGTATATTCGAAACTATTTTAAGGTCCATTGTTTTTTAAGTTTTCCTCTTTGAGGAGGTTATGTTCATTTGATTACAACCTTAAAGATTGTAGAAATTTTAATAGCTCTCTACCATGGATATCTGTCACGAGCGGTCAATATATTTATTTTAGTTAATCTGTCTTCGCTAAAATTCTTTTATCTGCGATAAGTTGACGAGTCTTTCAGTGGAAGCAGTAAATAACTTCATTTACATGCCTGATTCATAAGCCTGTAATGAGGTAAATATCTTTTTGTGCTGACTCATCGACTATCTGCTAAACGTTAAGAATGACTATTTTAGAATGAGTTCAGTTTTCCTCTCTACAAAAATTTGTGGTCAAGATCTTAGAAGCTCAAGCTTTTCGACTGAGTTATAAACAAGTAAAGAAAGTGGTTAATCTGGTTGTTTTTGTTGCTTTACTAAATATATAGAGAAAATACATGTACTATCTCTCTTTTGTGTAGGCTATTCACTTGAAGAAGTGCCATGTTCTTGGATGTCAAGGAGAATTTTTTGTTTTTTTTGTAATATCCATCAGCAGATCCTGTGAAAATGATGTAAACCATTGTCAATGTCTAGTTTTCCATTTTGGGTTACTGGGGACAAGAGGCCTTTGAAGATAAGCATGTAAGCTGAGACACTAAAAAAGTAATGTAGTTGAACTGAAGGATTGATTTTCGATATCTGTTTCTTGCATCCTTCGCCAGACATGGAGTAACCATGAAAATGAGATGGAGGTAACTGATAAGTATGAACTCAAATAAGCACAAACTTTCATGGTTAATACAAATAGTTTGTTTTTTCAGGGTGAGAAAAGGAATTGCATTTGGAATGAACAGTTATCATAATGTGCAGTACTTTCCGCAGCGTCTTTTCTATTATATTGTCCTGAGATATGTAAATTGTGCAGCTGATCCTCCGAATACCAAAGAGGCAATTGCTTGGTTATATCAAGCTTCAGTTGCTGGTCACGTTCGAGCGCAGTACCAACTTGCTCTTTGTTGGCATCAAGGTCGCGTGCTTGACCAAAACCTACAAGAAGCGGTATAATGTTGTTACCCAACTTTTCTTACTCTTCGTGATCAATTTGTACAGTTGTAGAATATATCTTGAAATCTCATCTTCATTTTTATCTTTTTCTTTTTTTTTTCCTAATTAGATACGGCGGTTCATATTAATTTTTTCCCTTACTAGTCAAGTGGTAAGGTAGGGCGCTATTCGATGATGAAAACAGACTTTAGGCAAGTGGTTCAGGTAGCTCAGCTGGTTAGATCAAAGGACTGACACTCCTTGTGTCAGTGGTTCGAATCCACTTCTAAGCGGGCAGGTAAGGTAGGGCGCTATTCGATGATGAAAACAGACTTTAGGCAAGTGGTTCAGGTAGCTCAGCTGGTTAGAGCAAAGGATTGAAAAAGGAGATAGAATAATCTATCCTCCAGCCCCTATTATTCTTCGAGAGTAAGCTGGTAAAGATAGCAGATTTCTAGCTGCACGAAGCCGGCAACAAAACCGTCGGCCTCCCCCAGAGTCTCAAACCCATCTCTTCTTCTTTTCAAAAGGAAGCTAGATTTCCTTTAAACTATTCATTTTAGGCGATCATATTATGTTAATCTAGGCATAAAACTGCTACCTCATCAGAAATTACTTTTCTTGAGCTAATAATTTATACACCTCCTTGTTTGGCTAACCATGTCTAGAGTTACTTGTTCTTTAGCAAACACGTACTCTTAAACACAGTTGGATAGTGGCCGAGGAATATCTGATACTCTCATGTAATTAAGATAGTTAAGGCCATCCATTTTGTAATAACTTTTGGTAGCATATTGTTCTTTCGATATGGATTCTTATAGTAACTTTAACTCATGAATTTCTAAATTCTAATCTTGACAGGCTCGCTGGTATCTAAGAGCTGCAGAAGGGGGACATGTTCGTGCTATGTATAATAGCTCCTTGTGCTACTCTCTTGGTGAGGGGCTGGTCCAGTCGCCTAGACTTGCAAGGAAATGGATGAAAAAGGCAGCTGATCGTGGTCATAGCAAAGCACAGTACGAGCATGGTTTGGGTCTCTTTTCTGTAAGTTACCAAAACATCCCATTGTTTTATAGTAAAGTTCTTTTAAATGATGCAGATAGATGCTTTTTGTGTCCACATTTTTGCTTGAGATTAAACTTACAAAAATAACAGAATTGTTAAAAGGAGTTTTATTTTTTGTTTTATAGATTTTCTCGGTAAAACTGTGTATATAAGATATCTTCAATACGTTTTAAAGAGTGGTGCGAGAAATTGATGGAAGTCTCTGATGCTACTAATTGGTACTTGTTTGGCTAAGCTTGAAAGTAAACTTTTAAGCTACTTTTTATCCAAACATATTTCAAAGTTACATTTTTTGGCACTCAAATCTTTTGAAAAAAGTATATTTTCACTTATTTTTTATATTAAGTACTTCTGCATTTTATTTTACTATTTTGCCAAACTTGCCCTTGGACAGGAAGGGGAGATGATGAAGGCTGTTATATACCTGGAGCTTGCCACCCGAGCTGGTGAGACTGCTGCCGCTCGTGTCAAAAATATTATAGTTCAACAATTGTCAACAACTTCGCGTGATAGAGCTATGCATCTGGCTAACAATTGGCATGCTATACCTTCAACCCGATGAACCTCATTGGCACATGTTCCTCACTTCACAATAAGCCTTCCTAGTTTTTCGTCTGAAGTTATGATTTCACTGTTAAAGCTTCTCTTTGTAATAGAATGTTTATATTAGAAGGAAAACAAGATGTTATGTAGTTTTATACTTTTTTTCTTGTATGATTGTTGTTTAGTTGCAGATTTTGTAAAATAATTGTGTGATGTCTCGGTGTATGACGAAGTTACGCTTATTCTGTTCAATTTAACTTATCAAATGTGTTACCAATGTATAAATTTTGATGGACAGACAGCTTAAAAGTGCAAACCCACATAAATAGCAAGCCAAACACCAAAAGTATCAAATCTGCAGTATACATATTGTGCACCACAACAGTTGAACAATTTCTATACAAGATTAAATCAAATTGTTCGAGTGCTGAGCAACAGAAAATTCCCAAGGATACCATGAAAAATCAATTGGTGTTCTGTTAATAGGTACCCCCTCTTAAGAAGTACATGTTGTCGTCTGACATGCATTGGCATCTAATGAAACCCCCTCAATACTTATTGTCTGATATAGCATTGGTAAAGCAAGGTCCTCGACGTATTTAAGGGGTGTAAGACTGCCCCTGAGGAAGCACACCTGAGTGATACACATTTAGATGGTACATTGCCTTGGATATCAACTCTTTCAATTCAGGATGTTGAGCAATCAATGCACGATCCGCCCCCTCAAGAACGCTCAAAACCCGTGATTGTTCCAAAGCCTCGCTCTTTCCAACGTGCAATCCAAGGTAACAGAGAAGAATCAATCCGTGAAACTGTGCCCGTTCATTGCCACTCAATAGTCTTAGTAGAGGTGGAACACCTTTGAACTCGATAATCGACTTGCAATGCTCAATGCACAGATAATTATCAGGACAAGCAAACTTCCCAAGTGAACAAGCAGCTTCTGCAGCCACGTCTTGATTCCCATTACTAAGTTGGTCGACCAACGGCCCAAGGACCCTAGTTTCCCGTGCTGGAAATGTTCGAGCTAACGAACCTATAGCCCTTATAGCTGGAATTCGCAACCACGAGTTATCAGACTCTTGAATCAACCTTAAGAGCTGCTCGACAACTGCTTTAGCAGCAGCAGAACTCGTCTTGAAAGCTACCCTTCTGAGGTCAGCATTATATTCAGCTGCAGCTGCTATCTCCATTATTGTCATCAAACAATTACGCTGCAATTCCCCGCACTCGGTTTCAACAAGCTTCGCCAAACAAAGCAACCCTTTAGTCTCCGAGATTCTCTTACTATTATGTACGCTCTCTCGAGCAAGCATCCATAATGCCTCGGCACAACTTATTTTTAACTTGAGCTTAACCTCCAGCTTCTCATTCTCCCTCTTCCCCACCTTACTACTCACCACCGAGGACCCCAGCCTACTCGAATTCTTCTCCATTTCCTTGTTGATCTGCACGATCGAATGGAAAGTCTGTTTTCCAATTATGATCATTGGATCATCTGGGAATATATCACACGACAACAATGTCACAAGTGGCCTAAACACATTCTCCCTTGCAAAATCATCTTGAGCAAGTGGAGAATACTTTGCCATTGTAGCCACCAAATTTGCAACCTTTATTTGAACCCCCACTGGAGAATCCGCTAAACCTTTTACAATAATTGGAATCCCCAAATCATCGACTATTTGTCCGACCCTTTCCTCGGAATTCGATAAATTGGAAAGGGCAGCGGCGGCCGCGAGTTGAGCTTCCGGCGAGGAATTATCATTTAAAAGCTTCAACAATGGGGGAATCCCGCCTTCTTCGACGATAATTTGTTTGTTCCTATCATTATCTTTCGCTAAAGAAGCCAATTCATTAGCGGCCTCAATTTTATCTTGTAATTGACCAAAGTGTAATGAAGCAATAAAAGACCAAACCCAAGAAAGAATGGGGTCATTACTAGCAATGGGAGGTAAAGTAATAACGATACCTCCACCGCCGCCGTCGCCGCTGTAGATACTAAGAACCCATTTCATGTCAGCGACGGAGGAGTCAAGGAGGGCGAAAATCTTGCGAAAATCCGCGGCGGAGACAATGGTGACAACACGGCAGAGGAAGTTCCCCCGCCGGCACTTCTTGACAAGGGTCAGCGCCTTTTCAAGATTCTTGGTGACATCGGCTGCTATGCGATAGAAAGGGCGGTCATAGAAGGCAGCGGCACCACCGCCGGAGATGGCATACCGGACGGCAGAGCGGAGCATCTGGCTTATGACAACAACTTTATTGCCAACCTCAGAACAATCGAACTTGAACAATCTGGCTTCATCGACGGCTAGTCGGATTCGTTCCGATAATAAAATCGTAAATGATAAGGTATCTTCGATTCTTGTTTGTTCTTCGATGATTAATGTTTTTTGAGGAATTCGTGGAGAAGATTTTGTTGCCATTATCAGTAAATGAATTTTACCAAAGAATTTGAGGAATTAAAAGTTGAGATTTTCATGAAATTCAGTGTTCAGTTTTGACAAGTAATTGAAGAGTCAAAAAAACTGAATTTCCAATGGTATAGAATAAGAGAAAATGCACTGCTTTTTCATTCTGCCTTCGCATGTTTGTACTTTGTACAGTACTATGTTGCGTCTCGTCTGACGTATTTATCATATTTCCTTTTGTTTTTATCTTGATTGAAAAATGTGTGCACTCAAAGTCACGTTTTTAATCGATGCTTTGAAAATTCTAGGAACATCAACCTTCAAAAGAAAGTAAATCGTCAAATGGTTAATGCGTCGAAACAAAATCGATTTGTAAATTCGTTTTGACTTTTGGAATTGAACCTTCAGTCCATTTTTCAAATCACGATTATCTTAAATCTTAAAGAGTTTATTATTTATTGCTTGAAATCTTGAATAGTTGATAACAAATGAATTTAAACAGAGATGATGGCTCGATATTTTGGACAATATTAGTTGTACTAGCAAAATGATAATGGCTCGATATTTTTGAGGTGTTTTAATTTAGTTATCTTGTGTATTACTCTAATGAGAGGTTTAATGGCCCTGATTGCAGTAGACTTCACAATATAAATTTGCTTAGGAGCTGACCGGTCTTGAGTTCATGGAGAACTCAGACTCGACGTGTTAGCATGAGCCAAAGGGAAGAACCGATCTTTATTTGTAGATAGGACTCGAACTTTGGTGTCTAAGGGTCAAGTCAAGCCAAACCATGCCACCCCTAATTATAATTTTGACAATTCGATGAATTCTATGTGAATATGTCATATGTCAGCAATGGCATAAAGATGAACAAACTCATTTCCTATTGAACTTTTTGTCGTGGAATCTATGGTTAAACAACGGGAAATCATCAAACCACAAAATCAAATTGAAACCGCTTTTATAAAATTGTTGATTTGGATCCGCGTAGAACTGTCAATGTTTTGATTTTGAACCGAGCAAACCCCCTTCAAAGTGGTTTGGTTTATATTTCAATCTTTACAAATCGTTTTAAACCTTCAAGCCGATTACAAAACATGTAAAAATAAACTAATTTAAATTTTATCCGTTAAAAGATATACCCACATTAGACATCACACAATTAAACTATATACCTAAATAAAATTAGTCATTCTAATTAATTAATGAAATCATACTCAAATAAATTAATTATCGCAACCTTGAATGTAAAACCCTCAAATTGGGTGAAGTATTGAGTAACTGGGATTGGGTTATATGTACTTATCACCATTACAATTGAATACACAATTAAATATAGATTTTAATTCAAATTCACATATATCTTTTCATCTTTTCTTTCTACCAATAATTTTCTTGATTTTTGGCTAACTTTTCAGGTCAGATTATCCAAATTATCTTATTTTTGATAATTGCTTACTATATTTTATAAATAATTTTATTGTTCTGTTCTAATTTGTGTGGTTCCCTTTTTTAGCCGACATCATTTTTGTTTATTTGAGTTTCAATTTTCTAGTCAGGTCACTCAATTAATTATTTTCATTTTAACTTAGTTTCTAGATTTTACTATTATTATTAGAATGATTTCATTGATTACCTAAATAATAGCTTTGAAAATTTGACCAATGAGTCTTTCGACATTTTACTTTGGTGGAAATTGAATACAAATAAATACAACATTATCTCCAAAATTGTTAAAGACGTGTTAGCTATTCAAATATCCACAATTATGAGCCTTGCTACTTGTACATAATTTGGTGTACATCAAGGTATCCATCCCCTCACATGAGGGTGAGACCCACTTGGAGAAAAAATATTTTATTCAAGTGGGTCCCACCCTCATGTGAAAGGGTGGATACCTTGATGTACACTAAATTATGTACAAGTAGATAAATTCTAGTTGAAATGGTGATTTGCTCTACAAATTGGTTGCATAGTAACAAAGAACATATAGTGATTCGTTAATATTTAGATGAAGTATAAATATTGGATGATTCATAAAAAGTTATAGAAGATAGTATCGTATTTGATCTTTTTATTCATTTTTTTTTATTAATTATTTTCTATCATTTAACTATAATTGATGAATTCATGTATTGTATTCTTATCTTTGTGGTTGCATCAATTAGAATCGACTAAAGTATAAAAAAGTTTCTATCATATTTTTGTGTTATAAAGAATAGAATTATAGAACTTTGATTTGTAATATTTTTAATAACACTATTTGTGTTTTGACATAAGATTTTACACAAATATTTACGATTTAACTTATCCGATATTTGTTATTATTATTATTATTTTTTGTTAAATTGTGATTTTAAAATGAATCAAACCGAAAAAAAAGTTTGGATTACTTTTGTTGTAAACATTGAAATGGTTTGGTTTGATTTTGAAAAAAATTTAAACCGCTCTAAGTGGTTTGATTTGAAAATGTCACAAATCGTCCAAATCGAACTGTGTTCACCCCCCTCAGTGGAATTTAAACTAACGAATAGATAATTAATTTTGGCTATTATTTTTAAAATTATTATCGTGAAAATAGACATTTGCACGGACAACAAAATCTAGACTCAAGTCAGGATTAAATGAACCAAAATATCCATAAAAATAAGTGATTATTTTGATTTCAAACATTAAAATGACACAATAAAATATTTTCTTTCTATGTCGATTGTCTGATTGAAATAAAAGTTATTTAATAATCAAAAGTATCGCTGTCGAACAAAACTATTTTCTACCTATACCGACACACACAGGTGACAAGCACCCTGCCAACTACAAGTGACACGTAAATATTTACATATTAAATTATTATTTTTTCAAAATCACGTGAAAATAAAAACAAATTACATTAATTATTTCCTTAAATAGCCCCGTGGGTCCCGCGTAAGAATCAGCCACCATCTACCTCCTTGCGTGTCTATATATTCATAAATCGCTAGCTCAGACAAGTACTCTCTCTATCTCTCTCTAAAATGGATGACTATTTCAAGCAGCCACTTCTCTCTCCAAGAGAAGATGACCAGCCAGCGAATTCATCATTCATTCGCCAGTCAAACCCGTCTTTCGCTTCATCGTTCGTCGCTGACGGCGATGACATTCCTCCGATCGCCGGTGTTCGGGACTTCTTCAAAGAATTCATGATTGAATCGAGAAAGTTATGGTACCTAGCCGGACCGGCCATCTTCACTTCTATTTGCCAATACTCCCTCGGAGCCATCACACAAACCTTCGCTGGCCAGGTTGGCACCCTCGAACTTGCCGCCGTCTCCATCGAAAACTCCGTCATTGCCGGTTTCTCCTTCGGCATCCTGGTAATAATTCTAAACGTACTAATCAGTCGAATAACGTGATACATGTGTGAACTGCTCAACATACCCCTACAATCAACTCGATTTACGGATCGAAACTTTTATTAGATTTCACATAGTCCAAAATATTGTAACAAATTTTGTTTCTTTATTTCTACTTTTCCTAATCATCTGAATAACACGATACATTCATGAACTATCCAATATGCCCTTCAAAACTAGTCGATTTGTGGGTCGAAAGTATAAATGATTACTATGGTTAGACTTCACATAGTCGTTAATAAATGTATATATCCTTGAAAACTAGTCGATTTGCAGGTCGAGGGTACAAAATATAACTATGATTAGACTTCACATAGTCCGTAGTAAATGTATCTAAACAAATTTTTTCTCTCTGTGTAACAGCTTGGTATGGGGAGTGCACTTGAGACGCTATGTGGCCAAGCGTATGGTGCAGGTCATTTAGACATGCTTGGGGTTTACATGCAAAGATCATGGGTTATACTATTCGTCACCGCTTTTATTCTAACGATTTTCTACATTTTCGCCGCCCCACTTTTGCATTTGATCGGCCAAACGGACGATATATCGGCGGCGGCCGGGAAACTGGCGGTGTGGATGATCCCTCAGCTCTATGCTTATGCTCTGAATTTTCCTATAGCCAAGTTTTTACAATCACAGAGTAAGATGATGGTCATGGCGTGGATTTCAGCCGTTGTATTGGCTCTGCACACTTTGTTAAGTTGGTTGTTTATGCTTAAATTGGGTTGGGGCCTGGTAGGCGCCGCCGTGGTTTTGAACGCCTCGTGGTGGTTCTTGGTGGTGGCCCAGCTGGTTTATATATTCAGTGGGACCTGCGGTAGAGCTTGGTCCGGATTTTCTCTCAAGGCTTTTCAAAATCTATGGGGATTTGTCAAATTGTCGATGGCTTCAGCAGTAATGCTTTGGTAAGTAAATTTTTTTTTTTAATTTTTTTTCAGAATAAACTATTAAAAATATTTTATCAATTATTTTATTTTCGAAGACATACCTAATGATTAGATATATTTATTACATTGAACAGTGACCCATTATCAAATTATTGAAAATTTCGCATCTCGAGAGGAATAATTGCAGGAAGATGCTATGATATCACTGTGTTATTAATTGTTTAATTTATTTATTAAATAAAATTTTAAACTCTTATAGCATATTTGATAAGATGAATTAGAAAGTAATAAATGTTGTAACGTCTCCTTCATATCTATTTAATATTGTATAATAAATACGTTCTTGAGTAATAAGTATGTGAGTAATGTTATTCATCCCCAATGGGGATGAAAACACAGTTTAGGTGTCGCTGAATGATAGGTTAAATGAAAGGTAAAATTAAATAAGTCATTTAATGTTACCTATCATTTAATGCCATATTAGTGCCACGTAGACTGTGTTTTCATCCCCAGTGGAGATGAATAGCATTACTCTAAGTATATCGATGATGAGGTGATATAATGGAAGACGAATACGAACATAAACACGTTAGTTTTTTTTTAATTTGAATTTATTTCTTGATTATTAACTTTAATTAATGTTGTTATTTATATATTGTCATTTGCAGCTTGGAAACATGGTATTTTATGGCTTTAATCCTCTTTGCCGGTTATTTGAAAAACGCAGAAGTTGCAGTCGACGCTTTATCGATATGGTTAGTATTCTTTTCCCAATAAAGACTCGTGCTTTCGACTCGAGTCTTAATGCATGATTATGAAATTAGTTGAGTTATCAGCACATTGAATATATAAATTGATTAAATTATATTTTTATTTATATATTGAGATAAGATACTTTTTACCTACTTATTATTATTATAGAATAATTATGATTTATTCAATGTCGTGTTCCACGCTAGAGTAGTAAGCCAATTTTGTTATTGAGTTGGATTTGTTTGACCGTTGACTCATTAGATATTATAATAAATAAGGTAGGACGAGTTTGATTTGTATTAAAATTGATATTGATAAGGTTAAGGATCTTGTCGGACTATAGACAATATAATAATTGATATGAGGTGGCCAATTTATCTATAATACTGATATTTTGGATGACATCATAGCAGAAAAATGGACAAATTGAATGTACAATTCAAAAGGATTTTTGTTGTTTCCTTGATATTTTCAAATTTTTATTTTCTTATATGGAATTTTTTTATTATTATTTTGATGATAAAGCATATAATTGATTTTCTCAAACTTGCTAACTTTAACTCAAATATTCTTTTCAATTTAACAATTTTAAAACTCATTATGCATTAAAATTTAATTTCAGATATTTAAGAATTTGAATATTGTTATTAAATTAAAATTTAAAAATTTTTGCCGAAATATAATGTTGTCCAAATTGTCCAAATTTGCAGCACAAACTTGTTGGGATGGGCAATGATGGTAGCCATTGGATGCAATGCAGCAATAAGGTTAGTCAATTAAGAAACACGCCCTTTTTGAACAACCTTATAAACTTTATTCTCAATAAATTTTGATTCGATCATTTTTTACTACTATGCAGTGTGAGAGTGTCAAACGAACTTGGGGCTGCTCATCCAAGAACTGCGAAATTTTCTGTGGTAGTCGTGGTGATATCTTCGTTTGTGATTGGCCTCGTCATATCCCTAATCCTCATCATCTTCCGACAACAGTATCCTTCTTTATTTTCGAATAGTACGATAGTGAAGAAGGTCGTATATGATCTCACACCTTTGCTTGCATTCTGTATCATCGTCAACAATATTCAACCCGCTCTTTCTGGTAATTGTGAATATCTGTATCGTCGTCAACATATCTATATAATGCGCAATAATTGTGCAATATATCAAAATTGTAATAACCTATGAATTGTTATGTTGGTGCAGGAGTTGCCATTGGAGCAGGATGGCAGGCTCTAGTTGCTTATGTGAATATTGCATGCTACTATTTGATTGGTATTCCTGCAGGTCTCCTATTGGGCTATAAACTCAACATGGGAGTCAAAGTAAGCCTGCAAAATCTAATTAGAATTTATATTTATTTTTGTTTAATTTATGAAAACTACATGATCTCAATGTTTAAAATTCTAATAATCAAATGAGGATGGATTTGAACTCAAATTTTTTTTTTTTTAATAACCGTGGATGTTTGGACCAGCTTGCGCTCACCCCAATTAATTTCACGGGGCTCTGAAGTTTACGGTTGGGTACTCACCTCAGTGGTCCTAAGGAAATTTGAACTCAAAATCTTTGTCGATTATATTATGTTTAATCGTTCTGCCTAGAAAGTTCACCCGCTATAGGGATGAACTTGTTTATTTTGCATATTATGTTCAACATGATCAAATGAGTGTTGATTTTCAGGGTATCTGGATTGGAATGGTAGGAGGAACAATTATACAAACAATTGTCCTGATCTTCATAATTTACAAAACTAACTGGAATAAAGAGGTATATATGTTTTATAGTTGAGTATTATAATTTTAAGCACGATTTTGTGTATGCTTCATAATTTTTATGTTACTTGGTACAATGTAGGCCTCGATTGCGGCAAAGAGGATCAAACAATGGGGCGGAGAGCCAGATGTGGCTAATGATGTAGAGAAACGAACTCGAGAGGAGGATTCAAGCAAGGATCCAATTGCAAAAGCCGAGCTCTAGTTTCGATTTAACATCCCGTCATATGTATTGGGTTTCTTTATTCATAGTCGCTCATTAATTGTTTTTTCGAAGACATGGATTGTTTTTGGATACTATAAAAAGTTGAATTTGATCATCGAAAAATTTAAACAAAAATATTTAGAACATCTTATTTCATATTGATCGGACATTTAATGCATTAACGATCTCGAGTAGATATACGTTTTCTTTTTCGAAAAATGCTGTTTTAATTTATGTTGAACCGTCGCAATTTTGATAGTCCTAAAAACGACTAGTTGTACGAGACAACTTATTGTGTGAAAATTTAGACTCACCAGAAAATTGTCCCAAAAGAATTGCCCCCTTAAACAAGAAACAAAAAAATGCAATCAAAAATGCGTCGTGCGAAATGCGTACGAGATCGTTGACAATTGATAACTTAGGGCCTGATTGATTAGGATTATTTTCCATTCAAAATGGGAATCAATTTCCATCTTCCACTTTTTTACTTGTTTGATACAACAAATTTTCTAGGAAATCCTTTTTCTTGGTTTTACTTCACGGGCCATATTTTATTAGAATTTGGTGAAAACCAATTCTCACCTGCCCCCCTTTTTTTTCTTTTTCTTTTCTTTTTTATGATAATGAAAACAAATTTCATAAGCAATTGTAAAATTTTTTTTACTTTAATGGACAATTTCTATGTAAAAAAAAGTCAAACGAACACTAAACTTTGATGAAAAATTTTTTTTTTAGGAAACAATTTTTTTTTTTTTTNTTTTTTTTATAATTTTTATTTTTTTTTTTTTTTTTTTTGCTTTTTGTCAATGTAAACAAATTTTATAACCAATTGTTTAAAAAATTATCACTTTAATGGATAATTTCTATATAAAACAAAGTCAAACGAACACAAAATTCAAAAATTTTTCGGATGGAAAATTATACCAATCAAATACACTTAATTAACAATTCTTTGAAAAACAATTTCTCGACAATTACTTTTATTGGAATTCATTTTCTTTCCACCCATTTCCCACCCTTACAATCAAACGGACCGATAAAGGGTATCGTCTCATGAGGAATAATTTTTAAATTGAACTGTATTAATTCGTTATCAAATTCAGATGTACGTAACACGAGAGATTTGATCGTTCCTTTCTAGATTAATCTACTAATAATCAACTAATTTCTTTATTCATAGCCATCACCACATAGCTCATCAATGATTATTTTGGAATGTCATAAAAAGCTACATTTAAATCATATAAATATATATTGGAAGTAATAAACAAAAACATTTAGAACATCGTATTTCATATTGATCGGACGTTTAACGCATTAACGATCTCGTACTAGTGCATATAAATTTTCTTTCTTGAAAAACACTATTTTAATTTTATTACGTACCATCACAATTTTGGTAG